AGATAAGATGTGGTAATAGTGAATGATGAAATCAAAGGACAATATGTATCAATAATTTCCAATAAAGTTATCACATCATCAGTTCATAAATAATCAAATAGTAAGTTGAACTAATATTTATATCGAATTCAAATAGTTATTAAGTTCAAAACGAAGAAAATATGACCGAATAAAATAACAATTAATAATTGTCTATGTAAACATTGAACAACTTGAACATCATGAAAAATGTTTTAATATCAGTTAATATTTAGAGTATATTGTGTTTTGTATTTATCAACTGTTTAAAAATGACAAGTATTCTTTATCTTTTAGATAGATATTTTTAGAAATCTAACTCATGTTTATCGATTATGTCAAATCTTAATAGACAATACTTAACTGATGTCATAAAATATCAGACCGTTTTTCATGATGTTCAAATTGTTCAATGTTGACAAAGACAATGATTAACTGTTATTTTATTTGGTCATATTTTCTTCGTTTTGAACGTAATAAATATTTGACTTAGATATAAATATTAGTTTAAGTTACTATTTGATTATTTATGAACTGATGATTATAACTTTGAAATTCGGAGTCGATCAATGTCAGACCACCATTAGAAACCTGGAAGCACTAGACTGCCGTTCCACCTTGCTATGGGAATCATCAGCAACGCGCATCCACGACTCCTACTACTTGCAGGAATCGAACTCAGGACCTTCGGTCTTGCACACAAATGATAAACCTCTGGACCACTGAGCTGGCATCTAACGGTGTTAATGTCTAACGTCAATCAATTCACGGTCTCGCGAAACCTCATCCATTGTCTTCGGTAAGCACTGTTTCACACCCGAACAGGGTTGGACTCCGCTAATCACAACTTCTCACTAGTACTCGGAGAAACTTCCTCACGGAGCTAGTCACTAGAAAGCACATGACAACTGCATTATAGGATTGTTGGGTTACATTGAAATCATGAATCAAAACAGCCGTCCAGTGCTTCTAGGTTTCTAATGGTGGTCTAACGTTGATCGATCCATGATTTCAATGGAACTCAACAATCTCCACAACCTTATGATACAAATTATAACTTGGTTGGAAATTATTAATACATATTGTGCTTTGATTTCATCATTCACTATCACCACATCCTCTCTTATTATTACGTAACTGACAGTATAAGATAATAGCTTTACACATATAAGCGAACAATATTGTTTTACTTTGGATTGTCATCAGGCTTTACTCTAATAAAAGTGAATATAGAATAATTTTTCTGTATCTATTATGTCTCTAAAATTACCATCACTATCATGCTTCTCATACACACTCATACATACTTCACTAATTGATATATTTACAGTATGAATAATGAAAATTATACAAAACTAAATAAAATAAAATACTATAACCAGTGGTTTATTGTTATTATAATTATCATCAATGTCGATTTTTATTCTATTTCATTTGAAAAACACAACATTCCAGACAAATGTGTATCCATTAGAGTTTTCGAACTTTGTTACGTCAGAAAAAGAAAGATAATCAACAAAACAATTTGGAATACGTCCAAATAATCAAGTAAACTTCTTTCAATTAGAGTTGTGGAGATTTGTGTTTTCTGCGCATTGAAATCATCAGCCAGTCATTGTTAGATCACCATTAGAAACCTGGAATCACCGGATGGCCGTTTTATCCTGGTGTGGGACTCATCAGCAGTGTGCATTCACGACTCCTGCACCTCGCAGGATTCAAACCCAGAACCTTCTGTCTTGCGTACGAACGCCCAACCCCTGGACCATTGATTAGTCTACGGATTTTGCGCGACCTCACCCATTTGTCTTTGGTAGTTACTGTCTACACCCGGACAGGGTTGAACTACACTGTTCAAGTAAACAACTCAACGTATACAAGAGACAATAAGAATTTATATAAAGATTTACAAATGAATGTAAATTTTATAGAATGGTTGATTTTGGATTGATTGAAGTCTCTGCCCTCTAAATTCATGCTTAGGTAACCTATTATTCTAAACTTATGTAGTTGATATAAATACTATTCATGCCATAGTGTTATACTGATACAGATGCTAAAAATCTTTTTTTTATACCACAACTAAAATATTAAGTTATGACAAGATCAATACATTTCATGAAAAATTCCAATAAAAATTATCTGATTAATGCCACTTGGTTAAAGTTAGTCTGAGAATTTAGGGATCGGGTCGATTTACCTGCTGTATACGTGAATCGAGAACAATACAACATGTAGAATCTGTGTTATATTTTTTGCTTTCATCAAATAATTATAAAATTAATTGGGTATATCATGTTGGGAAGTAGTTTAATTTATTTCAAAATTATATACTAACCAATAAATAGATTGAATGATGAAGTATATATGTTTTCAACAACAACAAATGTTACTTCTTCTGTAAGGTAAATTTATTTTCTCATCATATGACGAGCTGAATACAAAATTATTCATGATTGAAATGTGTTGTTTAATCGGTAAGTAAATAAATTCTACAGTTTTACAGTTCCTGCCTAATGTATGCAGTAGACCGACAATCAACTTTGTCCATATAGAAAAAACTTTCTATATGCCTTATATCCCATTTCATAAATGAATTCGACGGAAAGTTACTAGTTACAACAAAGAATAAGCTTTTATTCATGAATCCGTAGTTCATTCATTAAAATGTTAACAAGAGTGAAGTAAAAATGTTAATGGTCACTTTCAGAGTTCTATTTATATTTTTTTTTCTTAGAATATTTTAAAGATAAATGCATTGTTTGCTGTTTAATTTAGCCGCAAAGTGTTTTCCATTTTTATGTTAAAGGAATATTGGACAAGATTTTAAAATCAATTGGGAAACATTAGAATTACAAAATACACAGAATAAAACTGTATAATTTACATTATAAAATTCTATTTTACGTAAAAAAGCCAAATATTCTCTACATTTCAAGTGTTAATAGTGACAATCTCAATCATCTGCTTTCTATCCGTACTAGTTTATGTATAGTAGATGCATTAAGAATGCTACATAATATTTTCGTCGCTTAAACAACAAAGTGTCTAGAATAGTACATTTTTTTAAAATAGTTTATTAATAACTTGACATAATCTTTCCCTACTTGAAAAACTTGTTTCTCTTACTAGGTTAATTAATTTTAAGTTTTTAGGAATCTGAATTGTCGAGTACCTCAGTATAGCCATTCAGTTGACAAGTTAAGTAATAACACAAGCTGGAAATAACTAAGATGACTGAAAAGCGAAGCGTAAAGTAAAAATTGATCAATACATACAAAGAATTTTTTGTGATTCAAGAGATCCAGCAAGTAAACCTCTGATTATCAGGTAAACATATTCAACATTGAATCATTTTTTTAACTGAAGTTAACTGATAGAAAATTTTTGAATGTCAATGTTTTTATCTGCTTCTCTAGATAAACAAATCCATGCTATGTGTACATACACCCACGTACTATCATGTTTACACTTCGAATTCGGTGAATAGAAATAATCAAGTTTTTTTTTTACAGAAACCATTTTTCACAGCAAATACTAGAAAAAAAATACAAACAAGATCTGTATGCCTATTCAAAAAATTATTCCAGATAATTTCCTCAAATATCATGAAATACCTTTAATGGTTTTATCGAGAAAAGAAAAACAGATTATCAAACAACTGTACAAATAACATTGTCACACTTTACCTCTTTAGAAAAAAAAGATTTAGCATACAATGAAATAACAAAAACGAAACACATGAGGAATAAATCAATTTCCCGAATAAATACTACTTATGATTAAATTGTTCAAAAATGATTTTTAATTCGTTAACTCATAAAATTTCAATGATAATTTTGTAATCAAATCTTGTTAAAAAATTTTAATTCAGTAAACCATTAAACAGAACAACAACAACAAATAACTAAGTGAAACGATGTAGAGACGTACTGTAAAAAATTCTAATGAATCTGATTTGAATTCCTAAGGAAAGAAATAGAAAAGCAGAAACAGTGTTTTAAACAAACAATGCGTTCTGTGTTTCCCAACACTTTTTCTATTCATTTTCCTTCACCTACAGCTTACTAACCTTCATTTATGCCAAAATGTACATTGATCATTGTCAAATACTTTACAGTGCACCTACCTACCTTTTTAACTGTACATTTATCATACTACTAAAGTTTAAACATAAGAGTTTGTAATTATCAAAAGATAATTCTGCTAGACTGACGAAGTGTGTGTTTGTAATTTACACTCTTTAAAAAAATTAAATCAGCAATTAAAATTTTTTGAATTTCTTAAATTTTTTTGTTCACTAAATTCATAATTCTAATTCCAAAATGTTTTCTCATGTTTATGAGGTCCTATTCACCGTTATAATCTTGCCTACGTTCATAACTATCAATTTAGCAACTCTCTTATTGTAGTTGCCAAACAACTGATCACTTGCCTACTTATACCTGTTACCGCCCATAGAGCATCGGCTGCCAATCGGCAATCTCCACATGTAGCCCTTCTAGAAGGGGGTTTGGGAATGGAGTTAACACCCCTATTCCGTAGGAAATAAATTTGCTAAAAACAACGCTAACCAGAGAAAATAATTCCAACCCTTCGAACGACTGCTAGGTCATACTAATTCATGTATTTCTAAACTTTCAATTTAAAGACTAGAATGCTACAGATGTAGTGATAAGTACCATTACATCTATATCTCATGTAACTATAAAAGTGAAATACTAAACTACCACGAACTGTAAGGCAGTCAACCTCAATGAATACATTGGTGATATAAATTTGAATAATACTCATTGTTAATTGACCATAATTTGTGAACAGTAAAATAAATCAAAACACAAACAATCAGTAAATCAAAAGATTGTTTACTATCACAATTGTACAAAAGCACAATAAAACAAAATTTTGAAAAATATTCATTTAAAAAAACTTATCAACTAATTTACTAAGCAATTCAATTGACAAATGCTTGAAAAACATACTTGGATAAAATTGATATAGCCCATCCGTCTACAGCAATATCTTGTGTTGCAGCAAGAAATGTCAATCCAAAAAATGCAATTGTTAAACTTATAATATCAATTGAATGATGTGTACCCAATGGACTCCATGGATTGTTTGGATCACGTCCTAACCAATGATTAATATAATTCGCTAAAATAATCAATTCAATGCCAATAGCATATTGTGTTGGAATAAGCCATGTTTTTCTACGTCCAATATGTGTACTATAAATTGAATCAATAATTGGCGCCCAAACTAATTTAAATGAAAATGGCCAAAATACTAATGAAAATGTAGCTTGTGCTTGATAACTTCCAGTATAATAACTTGATTGTAGCATAAATGGAATAGATGCAGACAAACCAATTGGTATACCCTAATGATAAGAGGAAGACAAAAACAAGGGGGATCAATGAAAAAAGAATACAAAGTTGTCTAGTTTATTAAACTCTCTATACAATATATATCGAAAGCTTTACAAAAGTAGTTTGTTTAATTTACTGTAAGAGATATTTGAGATGATTATTAATTTCATAACTACACTCAATTCTTGTGTTGAATCTACTACAGTAAAATTTTCTCAAAACAGTTTAAACAAAAGTGTAAATTATCTGTATATATCTATACACACATATGACTTATTTAATCACTCCGGATTTATCTTGGCACAGCTGAGAATTTTTTAATTCAACTAATTTGATAATCCTTAGAGAATATTCAGTTATTTTCAATAACTTCGTCATCCGATTGTGAAATTATAAGTTCATAATATTAGTTTATTAACAAGTTCAAAATAAAGCATATTAATTAAACAATGTTATATTAAGAAATGATGAACATTGACATCATTTTACGTCATAAATGCTTTGCAAAAAAATGGTGTTATTTGTAAATTAGAAAAGGTACTCCAAGTAGGTTAAAATGAGATCAATATAATAATTAAACAAATCATGTGAAAAAAATGTATGATAGGGAAAGTTTCATCCAAGCAATGCTTAATGGAAATAATAATAACGATGATTAATACCTTTTAGTCAAAGATTGGATTACTCTTATTACTTAATTCCTTTCATGTTTGTATTTGAATTTACACTTTCATCTTTCAAAATGCACATGAGTATCTGTTGGGGATGATAGATCCCATAAACTCCCTTTATAAATGCCTTATTTTGGATTTCACGTTTGCGAGCATGGGCTGATCAGCTGACCTTGAGATTTCATTTCCCACCAGGAAATCCCTTGGCCGTGATTGGTTGCTGTGTATTTTACTGTGCTATTTTCGTAACTGTCCCAAGGACATTTCTATGATGTATAAATAAACGAGAGTTGTATGCTTGATTGTATTTTGATTGCTGGGTGTTGTAGAATATACTTTCTACGCTTACCAAGTATTCTGTTCTGCAGTTTGGGATTCAAGGTAGCCTACCTGGACGTTGGTAATTGTCTCGTTCGCGTTTATCGACTAAGGTAAACTCGTAAGAGAGCTTCAAGCGTACCAAGTGACGAACATAACAGTTTCTTATCATAACTACTGGAATATTATTTTTAATTGTGATGCACAAAGTTATTGTAATTATGATTTCCTTTTAACCAGACAACATTTCTCCTACTGTGCATTACAAACACATGATTTATAATATTATTCTATGGATTGCAGATTGACATCTGATAACAAATTATTCTTACCCACTTTGAGTACCTTTTCTAATTTATAAATAATATCGTTTTTGCAGTATTTATGACGTAAAAGCAAGCCAATGTTTATCATCATTTCTTAGTACAACATTATCATTTATTTACCATCTATAATAAAGTTATTATCAACTAATTTTTTTTAATAGAAAGAGTGAAATTTTTTGAATAAAAGTTTCATTAGTTAATAAAATAAAAATGATATTTGTGTTTGATTCTATAAGGAAATTATGAACAAGTTTTTTAAATTATGTCTCATATCACTTTGTTTATGGTGGATACCTCAACATAACTGGCCTATCTACTTTACAACTATGGAAGTATTACAATTAAACTGACAGTTTTAAGTTTGTTTTGACTAAAAAAAAATGATGAATATTAATTGTATGTATTTATGCACTGCTATATAACAGGTTGTACATCAATTTGATATTAAAAACTTTAAAACTAAAATAGAGACAGTGAAGTTCTTGACAGCTTTCTATGATTATCTATTGTCTCACAAAATAAAGGGAAAAGTATGTGTTTTGTTCATTATGATGGATGAAAATGTAGCTATAATATTTGAACTGGTAAAAAACTTTAATAATTAATTACAAGTCAGACATATCGACAGTTAAAAACATTTTTTTAAAAATATATTTTGAAAATATAGGATCAATAAAATGTGATTATCAGTGAAATTCAGGACGCTCGTGTTTTTTTGTCCTGTTTGGGACTAGTTGTAACTAGATATAACTGCATGCCGGAGTCGATGTTCAGTCATGGACACAAACTCGATACCGTTCACCTCAAACTCTATCGCACTATCCACTAACTTGTACGATGGATATGGGATTCAATTCAATTTTTAATGGTTTCGATCATTGCAATATTGATATTTTGACTGAAATTTGATCTGTCTTTGTTGGCATAAGGGTGTCCTTTGCGGACTGTTCCGATATAACCATTATAACACAAGTTTATATAGAATGGATAGGAGGTGGTTAGAAGTGGAAGAATCTAGGACGCGCGTTCCTTCCTATTCCATCCCATCCTGCATAGAATGCCCATATACCCACAAAGAATGATCCAATTTCAATCAAAATATCAACAACACGATAATCCAAACGATTTCCAACTGAATATTTTGAATAATTATAATTTGAATGTATGTTAAATAGAGATTTATTGCAAGATACTATATTTCATATTAGGAATCTTTTTTACTGTACCAAAAAATATACAGTGTTAAATAAATCTTTCATTACTATTATTAATTTAACTTAATAAAACATAATTTCAAGAATAAAATAATTGTAACACGAAGTCAGATGACGAAATATGAAATGTTTCCTAATTAACCGCCCACATATGATATAAAATTAAAACACTTGTATAAATGAATAAAGAGAAAGATGTATTATTTCATTGGAAAAAAAATTGAAGATACAATTCAATCAACAATAAAAAAAAGTCAAGTTTCAATTATGATGGTAACTGAGGTAGTGGTTGGTGGTGTTGTTGTCGATGATGATGTGATGCTGTTGTTTTCAAGTGCTGTACTAACCTACTAATTACGTAATTACAGTTTGGTGTATAAATTGAGTATATAATGAAAATATATTAAAATATAGAGAGTATTAGAGTTATTTGGTAACTTTAAGTTGAGAATATTAGAACAATTGTTGAACAGAAGATAACAGTTAGAAATTAACAAGATAAACTGATTACAGTAGGAAGACTGAACAAGTTAGGTGTCCAAAAAGAAAGCCTAATACTTACATTCTATGTTTTAAAAGGTTTTTGTTGATGACTAAAAAAAGCAGTCAATGGTAAATCAGAGATTTTCAGAGTAGAATATGAAAAGTCACCAGTATTTGGGGGGTCAAACCTACTTTTACACTAACCATTATACTTAAACAAACGATTTGCATTAGATTTTGTCACATAAACCTAGTTAAACCCTCATCTAACCTGTACCTACTTGACATTAAAGGTTTCAGCTATAAATAAATCATTTGTTTTCTTTAGTGACCAGTGTGCAAAGAACCCCTATTTCAATTGAATATATGATGTGAATACTAAAAGTTATCAACTAGTTACTTGGATATTTTTAAAGTAGTTTACATGATTAGAATATGGTTATGTTTATCAGAAACTAATATAATTTAGAAAAATGGTAAGCACTGAATAGTTCTTTCGTACAACCAATAAATCTTTCAGTAGTAACGACCAACGGTTCATCACATGTGGACAAACACATAAAACCTTCAAGTTTGACTACAAGCACTATACAACAAAATCAATCGAAAAGACTCCAACACCTTACACATTTCACTTATCATGTCTTTGATTAGCTATTATATAAATGATTCCCAAGATGATATCACTATACAATGCTAGGTTTTTAAATTATATAAATCTCTTTGTTTAAAATGCATTTAATTTAACAAAAGTTTATACTCGCAAAGTGTTATACATTTTTTGGATACAGCCGACTAAATAAGATTTTCGAAAATTTTGCATATGTTTTCAATTACCCTTAACTTCTGGTTAGAATTCATTAAAGCCTTATTTCAGCATGCTGAGTATACTCATTCAAATATATTTAAGAAAAAGGCGAATAGCACAAAGAACTAGTCGTTTTGAACTAGCTTTTTTTTTACTATGACTTCACACTAATAATACATATACAAAACTTAATATCAGTATAAGGTTGTTGAAATTGTTGCGTTTCATTGAAATCATGAACCGATCAATGTTAAACCAACAAGTTTTCTAGGTTTTCAATGGTGATCTAACATTGATTCCTTCATGATTTCAATAAAGCTAACTATATAACTGATAAAGGAAAGATAAGATGATCATAATAACTGAATTAATATTTAGATTAACGATTATCAGGTTGCAAGATATGAATGATGCAAAGAATAAACAAATATTTTTTAATGTTGTACTTCAGTCTCATAACAGTGATATAAAAACAAAGAGAACAATATTGAAACCAAGTAAGAATACAATTATCGAAGAAATTCAGAAAACGTTTTCAAACTAGAGTACATCAGAGTTATGTTATCATCCAGTTTCGTACAAACTATGTTAAATGTCAGAGTAATGACAAATTCATAAAGCATTTGGTAAAAATGATACGATACGATGGATACAGACAGCTCTATTCAAGTTAACTTGATGTCCGGTTTAAACCGAACAACACTCAATGACCACTAACTGTCCTTTGTCCAAACAGACCAGTTGATGATTTGCGATATGATGTCACACTTGTTGAATTGTACACTCTTTGTATATTAAAAAACCACAGTGAGTTAAAGTTTTTCAATGATAATTTAAATTTCTTTTTTAATTATAAAATAGTTTCTGATATTTGAGTTTACCAAGTTAAAATTGATCTAGGAAATAGTTGGAAATCATAAATCAGTGCAAAACTGTTTTCTCCTAGTTTTCAATTATTTTTTTTAAAACCGATCTTAAAATCTAGATCATATAAAGAATTGTTTGAAGTTTTAATTTTTATTTTCTAAATGTTTCACTGTTTACATCCCTCATCAAATATGGAATAGATTACCACTAACATGATACATGTCCAATAACAAAATTGCATTTTATCCATTTAGAGTAAATTATTTTTTTCTGGATAGAGTTTTTTTATAGCCATTTGTTTTTCTTCGGAACTCCATGCCCAAC